AGGCGTGGTCAGCCAAGGGGTGGGGGGAGGGAGTGAGACGGGCAGCAGTAACGTCGTCGTGCAGGCCAGGGAGAGAACATCTCTAGGAGTGTGGTCAGCAGTGTCAAACAAAGCAGAGAAGCCTAGTGAGTAAAGGACTGAGGGTGTCCCTGACCTTGGCCAGAGTCGCTCCAGTGGTGCGGTGGGGGGAAAACGTGGAGGCAGAGGGATGAGGCGTGCAGATAGTGGGGATTAACCACGAATCCAACTCTCTCTTCTCCAGTGGGATTTTTGGCGAGCGGCTTCCCCTCCGTTATTACCTTTCGGCCGGAATGCTGCTCAGCGGCCTTTTCACGTCGCTCTTTGGCCTGGGATATTTCTGGGACATCCATGTCCTCTGGTACTTTGTGCTCATGCAGGTATGAGCCCTGGTCTTGCCCTTGGGCCTCTGTTCCCCGCACAGAAAGGATCCTGGAGGCTCTAGTCCTTCTCAGCCACTCCTAGGTTTAGTCCCGGAAGACCTCCTGCCCCGCCCGCCCAGTGCTCCTCTGTTCTGCTGCACAGGGTCTGACGTCCCACCCCGTGGGTCATGCATTTGCTTGCTCAGCATGCCGCGCTGAGCACCACCTTGAGGTCATCTGAGATGCCTGAGAGGCTGGGTTTCTGCAGGGAAAGATCTTGGGCCAGAGGGCATTCGGGGGTGGGGGTGTGCATGTGTGTGAAGGAAGGGGAAATTGGGGGGCCCCCTCAACCGTGATATTGAACCTCCTCAGCCCGGGAGGGATCAGAGCAGGGAGCTGGCAGCACACCTGGGGCCTGTCCCACCTGACTCCCCTCTCCTTGCAGATCTTTAATGGACTCGTCCAGACCACAGGCTGGCCCTCAGTTGTGACCTGCGTTGGCAACTGGTTCGGGAAGGGGAAGTGAGTGTGACAAGAGAGTGGGAGCTGGAGGTTCCCTAGGAGGGCTGGGGTAGTGCGGGGTCACCTGTGACCTCCTAATATAACTTCAAGGTGAGGGATTAGAAACTTGCCTCCCTCTTGCTGACTTTCACGTGCTGAGTGAGATACAAACATTTCAGTGACTCAGTAGCAGTGTTGATTTTCCATTGATAAAATAGCAACCTTTGTTATGCGTTTTCCCCATAATAGAGGAATTTCCATTTTGCATGAAGAGAAAAATGAAGCCTATAAAACTGTATTGTTTTTTCCTGAACTGGCTTGTGTGCAAAAACACATTGCTTTAGAGCAGGGTGTCGCAGCCTTGGCACTATTGCCATTTGGGGCTGGATGATTATTTGTTGCGGGGGCCATCCCGTGCATTGGAGGGTGTTTAGCAACATCCCCCCACTAGATGCCACCACCATACCCAGAGCTGTGACAGTCAAAACTCTTCAGACATTGCCAGTGTTCCCAGAGAGAAGAGAGTGGGTTTGGGACTCCACCCCTCGGGGCAGCAAGAGCGCTGTTGGGAAGCCCTGTGTGCTGGCTCGGGTAACCCAGGCCGGGCTGTCGCTCACTCGCTGGCCCCACCCACCCCTCTCCCACTTCCCTGGCATGGAGGCTGTAGGCAGCCAGTTTTCTGCACATGGCCAGGCCAGTTGCAAATAACCCTATGCTTTCCTTTTAATTTTTTCTGCTCTTCTCCCGTCCCCCTCCTTGTGTTCTCTCCCTCCCTCCCTCGTTCCCTCCCTCCCTTCCTCCCTCCTTCCAGGAGGGGGTTCATCATGGGCATCTGGAATTCCCACACATCCGTGGGCAACATCCTGGGCTCCCTGATCGCTGGCATCTGGGTGAGCGATCACTGGGGTCTGTCCTTCGTAGTACCCGGCGTCATCACCGCTGTCATGGGCATCATCACCTTCCTCTTTCTCATCGAGTGTAAGTGGACCCTCCCCCCGGCCACAGGGGCCATAACTCTGGGAGAAGGCAGCTGGCTACGGTGGGGAGATTACTGGTCGTAGAGTTGGAGGACCTGGTGTGTGACTTGGGACAAGCAACCTCTCTGAGCCTCAGTTTTCTCATTTGTAAATAAGACTAACAGCATGTACTTCTCAGGGCTGTGGAAGGTTTCACTAAGACGGGTAGTTAGGACTCCTGGCCCCTAGTTGGTGCTTGGCAAATGCTGGCTGAATCTGAGGGGTGAGAAGGGGGAAGGTGGGGTGGACAGGACACTCCCCACATTTGCTGTTCTCACCCCCATTCCCTGACAGCCTGTGCGTCTGCTAGGCCAGGTAGTAGGGCCACTTTGTGGCCAGAGAACAGAAATCCCAGGAGGCTTTAGGGGTGGGGACTAGTCCCAGTGCAAGCGGCGGGCCTGGCCTGAGGAAAGCCTCCTAGAAGGTTTTTTTTTTAGACCCAGAAGATGTGGACTGCGCCTCGCCTCAGCACCACGTGAGTGTGAGCCCCCAGCCCACGCCCTTCCCCCCTACTCCATCCCCAGATAGAACTGGGGCATTGGAGGGGGGCACCTTGAGCCCATAGTACTTCACAGGCCCAGTGTCAGGCCCTTGGTAGGCGCCGCAACAGCCCCATGGCCTGCAGGAAGTTAGTCCAGACCGGGAGAGGAAAAAGCACCCCTTCCAGCTTCGGAGTCCCTGCCTCCCATGTGGGCCGTCCATCCAGCGGGCAGGAGGTGGTATGTGGATGCCCACAGCAAGGTCTCATCTCTGTTTAGGATGGGCCAGAAGAAAACCAGAACAACCCTGAGGACCCTGGGCACAGCCCCTACGGTCACCAGGAGAGCAGCCTGGAGACGGCTACCAAATGCTCCAAGGAGCCAAGTGCTCAGCCTGTTGCCATCAGCTTCTTTGGGGCGCTCCTGATCCCGGTGAGAAGTGGGGGGAGTGGAGGGGAGAAGGGTGGGTGAGAAGGAAGGCTTGTCTTGACACAGCACTGGAACAGCAGGCCACATTGCTTTTCTTGAGAGTGGATGTGTACTTGAGGTGCTTTATGTGGTGAGGGGTGGAAAGTTCCGGGGTGGCACTCAGCCGCCCCTTGGGGCTGCCCCAGACAAGCCTTTCCTGCCCTCTTTCCATCGTGCCTTCTGCTCTGCTCTCCAGGGCGTGATCGAGTTCTCCCTGTGCCTGCTGTTTGCCAAGCTGGTCAGCTACACCTTCCTCTACTGGCTGCCCCTCTACATCTTCAATGTGGGTAAGGACCAGGGAAGAACGAAGGGTCCGTGATGGGAGAGGAAGCCCATCGTGTGAGGCATACGATTCCTGGATACGGGGGGGGGGGATCTCCACTGAACCTCTCTTAGGGCAAAAGGAGATTTTTTTTTTTAATGGGAAGTTGAACTATGTACCTCTGAGGCCCTGATTCCAGCCACCTTTCCTCCCGTGGAACTGAGTTGGGGGATAGGAACTCAAAGCTCTGTTCTGTGATCTTCCCTAACTTCTCCAGCCTTCAGTGTAGGAGAAACCCACCCCCAGCCTACTTGGCTCATAGGTGAGCGGGATTGGAGGGTGCTAGAAAAGGTCTGCTTTTTTAATGCCTCCTGGAGTCCCTTGAGTGTCCCCCAACCCAAGGAAGAGGCCTGGTATGCCACCCCCACTGCTTGTAGCCTGGTGGGAACACTATTCTCCTCTCCCAAGGGGCTTCCGGGAGCCTCATGAGATTCTGTCCTGTGCTGGGTCGGCTGCACTGCCCCTCATGGACCTGCTCTCCCTGCCCTCGCCCTGCCCAAGGACGGACAGATGAGGAGAGGTCACTTTTTGTGGTTGAAAACAATGTTTACGTCCACCTGGCCTGGGTATCTGCTATTCCATAGGTCAGGTGGCTACTGTGTCAGGGAGCAGCACCCCTGCCGTAGCCCCCGAGCCCCAGCGTTCCACCAGGGCTGAGGCCCTGCCCCAGGCTGCCCTGCTCCCTCCAGGCCCTATGGGAGGGCCAAGGATCAAGGCTGCCTTGCTGTACCCTGCACTTTCTCTGAACAGGATACCATGGGGATTAGTCGGGGCCAAATTTCAAGCTGTAACCTGCCCCACAGCTCTACCTGAGAGGCCTTGTGCAAAGATAGAGGTGGAGCCCCAGGGCAGTTTCGTGGACACAGGGACTCTGTTTTGTAGTCTTGGTGCTGACTTCAGCGTATGAGTCAAGCTTGAGGGTTGGGCTACAGTTCAAGCTTCTGGATATTCCTTTCCTAATCCTAGAGCACAGCCTGGGGCCTGAGGTTCTCATTTTCCTGTGAGTCTCTTTTCTGGCTCTGTTGATTGGCAGAGACCTCAAATGGATGCAAAGCCTCCTTGTGGAGGCCTGCCACTCAGCTGGGAGCAGAGCAGGAACCGCTGGATGGGCTGAGACTCAGTGAGAGAAGTTGTGCCCCCGGAGAAGGTGGTCCAGCGGGACAGGGCTCACAGGCCAGACCCCGGTGCTTTCAGGTGAAGGCTAGTCTGAGAGGTCGAGGCCATCCTGCAGGAGGAGAAGGCAGTACAGGACTGGGGGCCAGAGAGGGCGTCTGGTCACAAACTGCTGCAAACTCACCTGTGAGCCTGGTCGGTGACTTCCCACGGGTCCCCACTACTTCCTCTGAAAAGGGGGGGCAGTAGGCTTGGCTCACGTGATCTGATTTTTCCAGCTGTGACACTCCAGGGTGTTTGCCCTGACTCATCAGGTCTGACCACATATTTGTGTTTTCCACAGCTCACTTTAGTGCCAAGGATGCTGGGGACCTATCTACACTCTTTGATGTTGGTGGCATCATAGGTGAGGTCCTGCCCTGCTCTGCCCATAGGCTGCATTCCCCTTTTCTCTGGTGGTGGTGTAGAAAGAAGGTCCCATGGGAAGTGACCCAGGCATGTAACATCAGAGAAAAAAAGGGCTCCTGTCCAGTGAGGTGGTTCTAAGAAAGATGGTCCTCGTGTTTCGTCTTCCTGTCAGCAGTGGATCCAGGGAGGGCTTCAGAGGGAGATGCTCTGCTGCTTCTTGATGTCTAGGTCCAGACCAGTGCTGGGTGGAGTGATGGGGCCCAGCTTGGGATACCATGTGGGTGGGAGGCTGGATCGTGCCTGGGGTGGCCGTGGGTAAGTTGGTTTGTGTTCCAGGTGGCATCCTGGCGGGGCTCATCTCTGACTACACCAATGGCAGGGCCACCACCTGCTGCATCATGCTGATCTTGGCTGCCCCCATGGTGTGTATAACCTCATATGTGCCTGCGTGTGGCCGCTGGACCATGGGCACCTGGGCATTTACAAACACACCTGTCTCTGCGTGTGTGTACATCCCTGCACACAGCTCAGGGAGGAGAAGCCAGGGTCAGCACAGGAAAGAGACCCAGATGGAGAGTTTTGGAAAGGGATTCGTGGCTACTTGGCCACGGTGGAGAAGGGGAGACCAGCTGGTACACTTTTTGACCAAGGAAAGAATAAGAGTTGGAGGCTAGATGTGAGAGAAGACTTTCTGGGATAAGGGAAACAAGAAATCACCACATCTCAGGCCTCCCCTCCCTGGGACATTTAAAGGCTGAGAGGTCTGGGTGTGAGAAGGAAAAGGAGAAAAGTGGCCTGTGGGGTCCTGGGCAGGACAGTGTTGTTCCGGACTTCCGGGCTCCAGTCTAACACAGCTGGCCCGTGGGAAGCCTGGGCGTGACTCTGCCTGTCCCCTTCTCCTCTCTCAGTTGTTCCTGTACAACCGCTTCGGCCAGAATGGGATTGGAAGCTCTATAGGTGAGGAGATGGCTGCAAGTCCCATCAGGTCATCGGAAAGGCACTGCCTTGGGGGCGTTGGTGGGAGGCACAGGGACGTGGAGGTTCTCAGCCAGACACCAGGAGCTCTCACCTGCTTTGGGGCTGGGGCTGGTGGTGGCCCCTCACCTCTCATTGGGCTGTCTCTGTTACTGCCTCAGTCATGCTGATCATCTGCGGGGCCCTGGTCAATGGTCCTTACTCGCTCATCACCACTGCTGTCTCAGCGGACCTGGTAGGTGAGGCTGCCTCCCAGGAGCCAGGGATCACTTTGGGGGCTTGGTCAGGGCCTCGGTCTCCACGTCCGTTTTCCCCACAGCCCTTTCCTCCTCCCTTGGCCTGTAGCGATCCTCAAAGTCCTTCAGAATCTGCCATCGACTGCCCTTTCCTCTCCACTCTGAGCCCTGATGCCCCCTATCCCGGAGTCAACCCCTCTCCCATCCTGTTGCTTGGCGCTGCCTCTTGGTTTGGGTCTTTACTCTACTCTGTTTCCCCAGGGGACTCACAAGAGCCTGAAGGGCAACGCAAAGGCACTGTCCACCGTCACGGCCATCATCGACGGCACCGGGTCCATAGGTCTGTGACTAGCTTTTGGCTCCCGGCAGCCGAGCACTGGGCCTTGTCTTGGGCACACTCCTGGGGCAGCTGCCATCATGTTGGCGGGGGTCCGGGGTTCCCTGGCGGGCACCCTGCTCTAACACTGTGCTTCACACAGGTGCAGCTCTGGGGCCTCTGCTGGCCGGGCTCATTTCCCCCACAGGCTGGAACAACGTCTTCTACATGCTCATCTCTGCTGACGTCTTGGCCTGCTTGGTAAGAGTTCTTGGGGTGCACAGATGGATCTTGGGAGATGTCCTGTCTTGCCAGGCTAAAATTCTGAAGGTCCAAAGCATTGTCCACAGGAGCTCTGGGACAGCAGCCCTTTGCTCAGGATCACTCCCCCGTCCACCCATGGGTGACCCCTGCTGAATGAAGCTGTGTGCTCAGCCTTTTCCCTTGCACCAGCCCACTGGTCACCAGCGCTGGGGACTAACCTCGTGCCCTCCCTTCCCCCACAGCTCCTCTGCCGGCTGGTGTACAAAGAGATCCTGGCCTGGAAGTCATCCCTGAGCAAAGGCACAGGGTGAGTCCTCCGGAGAGCTAGAGCCCCACCTCCCACCTCACTTCAGGTGCTCTGGGCTGGGCCCAGTCCGAGACCTCGGAACTCAGAGCTGGCCCTGGATGGGCTCCGTGAACACCCGCCCTGCCTGCCCCCGCTAACCTGCCCTCTGTTGTCCCGTGTGTCTCCGTAGCTCTTGTCTGGCCTTAGCCCCCACGCGGTAGTATTTTTCTCCAGTCCCTGACTTTTGTGAGTATTTTCTTCAAGTCTGTGACTGATGTGCCATCAGAGCGGGGCCTGCATGCAAATCCTCTCCCCTTCAGTGTGATTTTTCCAACTCTTTCTTCTTGGGGGCCAGTGCCAAGCAACCCGAGCAGAGCATGTTGCTTGGGAAGCGTTTCCTAAGAGGCCTGAGCTGCCACCAAACATGGCAGCTTCTTCTCAGGCAGAGCAGTCGGGCTTTGGACGTACCCCCAGGACAGAGGAGGCAGAGTCCAGGGAAATATTGTAGTTTCTTGCCTGAACTCGGACTCAGAGCTGCAAATGCTCCTGAAGATTAGAAACCAAGGTCACTAGCCCCTCTGCCTGGGATGTACAGAAAGAAGCAACTACCAATCAAAGCCTCTGGGACAAAATTGAATCAGTGTTGGTGGCTGGCTGGTGTGCTGTCTGTCTGTCACCTGGTGGTGGTGGGTGTGGAGCCTGTACCGAGAGGTTGGTGGCTGTGGCCGGGCCGGCAAGAGGCCAGGCTGCACTGGTGCTGAGGTGTCTCCTGGCCTTTCTGGCTCCCCTTCTGAGCAGGAGGCTCTTGCAAATGAGGAGCTGGCAGAGCTGTCGTCTTGGTTTGGGTGGTAAATGTAGGGTTATGGTAACCAGCACACTATTTGGAGAAGTACTTCCCTTTAAGGAAGGTGTCATCCAGGTTCAGGGGAGAAAAACTGGGAGCAGGAGGCATTCACAGTCTCTGCCCTGCCCTGGAGGAGCAGGGGGACTGGATCACGTGGCTAGTGTTCCGTCCACCTGCCTTCCCTGGGCCAGGCACGAGGGGAGCCTGGGGTGGGGGTGACGGAGGAGGAAAGAGGCAGAAAGGGAAGAAGTCAACATGTACTTATCTGCTCTGTGCTTGGAATGAGCCTGACTTCAGATATATTAGCTTACCTCCTCGTCACCTTGAGAGGTAAATATGCTCATTTAGAGAAGAGAGAACGGAGGCTCAGGACTCGGCGTGGGACTCATATACCTAAGGCTTCAGCTAGTCCCTGGTGTGTGGGGTTTGTGCTTCTCTGTAAGCTGGTCGTTCTCTGAAAGGCCATGTTTGGGGAGCGGAGTAACTCGCTAGGGCAGGGGGAGCATGGACTCGGAACCAGAAATCCCAGGACAGTCCTGACTTCTCTGCTCACCTTTAACTTGGGCAGAGTCTCTGACCTGCTGCATCCTTATGTGTAAAATTGCGGACACTTATCCCTAAACCCCGGACAGGGCTGATCTGAGTCTGAGACAAGGTGGGATATGTGATACTGCTTTGTAAAGCTGTCAAATGTGGTACAAATATTGTAAGGTTTGTAATTTTATCTGGCTTGCTATTTCCTGCTGAAGAGGTGAGAGGGAGCCCTGATTATAGAGAATAGGGATGAAAGGCAATTATTAAGGGGCCCAAGGAACCCGCCTTCCCTGTCCCCACCACTGGGGCAGGAGCTTATTAACCTGTGTCTCACTCTCTCTTTCATTGCCTCTCTCCTCCTCACGCAGGTATAAAGAAATGTGAGGCCCCGGTTGGAAGAGAAGCATGGAGGGGCCCAGCTGGGTCCCAAAATGCTCCCCCGGGGAAGACAATCGAAACTACCACAGACTGCTGAGGCAAAGCCTCCTGACCTAACACCAGCCCGCCCATGCTAAGGGCATGGTCTCCACAGGAAGGCGGCGGCCGGAGCTGAGTGGTGTCTCCATCCTGCTAAGGGAAAGATCTGCTCAGATTCCTGCTTGTTCAGGTTCCAGGACAGAAGGCAGAGGCTCCACAGGGCCGAAGCCTGGAAAAGGCACATCTCTCCTCCTCCTGGTGTTAAATCTGAGCCTCTGTCATCAGCCTGCACCTCTAGGTGGGATCCTGACCCGACTTCAGAGCTGCCCAGCCTCTCACCGTCCCTTTGTCTGCAATTCCTTTTCTCTCCATGGGATCCTGTTTCTAACGCCTGACCTGTTTGGATGAAAGCATTACGTCTGTATCCTCCAGGGCCGGGACTAGCGTGGAGCCAGGGAAGTGGCACTCTTGGGCTGGTACCTGTGCAGGCCCTGAGAGTGAGGGCCTCCCTTGCCTTACCCTCATCCCAGCTCTCCATGTCCGCGTGGAAGACGACACGCGAGGGCAGTGCTGTGGGGTGAGGGGTGGGGAGGGCCATGAATGAAAAATAAGTGCGTTTTGATAAAAACACCAGTGTTTTGATAAAGAAGTGCCAGTGGTTACTGAGTGCTCACTGGATGCCAGCTCTACTCTGGGAACGGGGTACACAGGGGACACAGAAAAAGGACCTACACCCTGAGCGCAGGCGCCAAGGTGACAAGGTTGTTTCTTTCAGGAGCCTTGACATGTGTGGCTTCCAGGAGCTCTGCGTAGAGGCCTCTTCTCCCCTGGGTTCCTGATGGACGTGTTCTGTCCACCTCACATCCCAGTGTGCTCCAAGGCAGGCGAGCTCTTGGCATTTCTGTCGGACCTCTGATGCCGCCTGTCAGCATCAATAGATTTCTTTTGCTGGCTAGTTCTTGTCAGGGCTCCCATGGGTGGCTGAGGCAGGGTCCCAGGACCACCAGGTTGTGTGCTGGGGCTGGTTACAACGGTCATTCCCAGAGGAGATGGTCATGACAACATGGATGACCTGTGGGGCAAACCGGGAACTTGGAGCCTCACGTAAGATATAACTGTTGCATTAACTGGGACACTGGGTGGGCCAGCGCGTTAGCTGGATACAAACCCCTCCACGCTGAAATGGGTTGCACACACGCCAGTGGTGACATAGACATACGTCTCCAAGTGCTTGATACTCTGGCTTTGAAAGCAGGAGCCAGTCGGGGACCGCTGGTCCTCAGGCCCCACAGGACAGCAGCCGGAGCGCGTGGTATTGTGCTCGCTATTCAGGAATGCTTCTTTCAAGACTAGAAAGGTTTATCTGACATCATCCCTCAGGGGAGCCACTAGATGGTGCCATAACCCCATAGTGGAGCCCAGCGTGCACCTGGGCTCCCTTTTGTGGTCCCTCAGGGGGACGGAAGAGCAGAGGTTTCTTCACTTGCCAACTGTCAGCTTTCCTTCCACTGCAGACAGGTCAGAGTAGGAGGGAGGCTATTGTTCCTCTCTGGCGCTTTTGAGGTCTTCTGTCCTCCAGCCTCACCACTTACTAGCTTTAAGCCTGTTTCCTCATCTAGAACAGGGGTCGGCAAACTGCGGCTCGCGAGCCATATGCGGCTCTTTGGGTACATTCCGCCTCAAAAGTTTGCCGACCCCTGGAAGAGCCAATCCTGTCCCTCACAGCAATTTAAAAGTTATTTGAGAGCCATAAATATATTTTTACAAATAAGGAAAATTTAAAGTAATATTGTAAATGAAACTATGATAGTTTTATTTTCATTTTCAATTTTACTTCAGAGCCACATGTATGTATCCAAAGAGCTGCATGTGGCTCACGAGCCGCAGTTTGCTGACCCCTGGCGGCTCTTCTGTCTCAAAAGTTTGCCGACCCCTGGTCTAGAAAATAGTACTCACACTACCTACCTCAGAAGACTGGTGGGAAGGGAGACAAATGGGTATAAGACACTCCCCGCCCTTGAGGACCTTGTCTAGTGAGGGGAGAAGATAGGAATATGAAAATGACGTTTATAAACAATGCAGGAAAAAACACCAGGGACAGTGACTCAAGTGGAGACTTGGCCATCCACTTGTCCAGCCCTGAAGGGATGGGGCTGGCAGGAGGGTGATCCCAATGGCAGCAGGAGGACTGACTAGATGTGAAAGGCGTAGGAAGAAAGAATGAATAGGACGTGGGCGATTAGGGCGCTATGGCAGTGAGGGCAAGTAGAAGAGGGTGGAAGTGAATACTTAGCAGCCCTCGTGTGTCAGGCGTAGGGGCTGGGAATAAGCAGGACACAGCCGCTCATGCCGACAGATGAGTGGCACTGGGGACAGGCCCAAGTCACGTGGGAGCTCGGAGCCTGGCCTCCGAAACGAGGACGTGGGCTGTAGGTGGGAGTTCGGGGAAATACCAAAGATTGGGGGTCCGACCTGAGGTCCGACCTCCCACACACGTCTCGCAGGTGCCAGGTTCCCGGCCCCACCTCAGCTCTGGGCACTGTCTGTTCCCCGGAGGCCTGGTACCTGCCTTCTCCCTGGGTCTCAGCACTCACTCGGGGCTAATGTAAGAACATTACATTAATTAGTTATTCATTTAATTTAACTTCACATTTGGTCTCAATTAAGCTTAAAGTGTTCTTCCTTATAGATGTTACAATAGCACTTGTAATTAAAAAGCAATAACTCTTTGCATTTCTCCTTTAGTGATCCATTGGGAGGCTGGGCTGGTGAGGGAGCAGCGGGAGGAAAGCAGCAACGAAAAGAACGGGAAAGCAGCTCTTGGTAGAGCTTAGCACTCAGGCTACCGCGAAAACTGAAGTTGGGGGGAAGGAAATTCTTAACACATCATGTGTGTCGGGGTGGGAGCCCTGAGAACTGGAGAGGGGTGCTAGAGATAAAGGGGTGGGCCTTGTGTATTATGGACTGGGAATAGGGAGAGGATGGAAGCAGGGTGGAAGGAGGTGATCCTTAGAACCGGAAGATGGGCCCATCTATTCTGTGGTAGGCAGAATGAGGCCCTCCACCCAAGCGGTCGCATCCTAATTCCCAGAACCAGAGACTACATTATCTTACATGGCGGATGAGGCTGCAGATGTGATGAAGGACCATGAGCTGGGGAGACTACCCTGGATTAGCAGGGTGGGCCCAATGTAATCACATGGCTCCTTATATATCAAAGAGGGAGGCGAGAGTGTCAGGTATCAGATTAGAAGATGCTGGTTTTGGAGATACAGGAAGGGTGCACCGAATGTGGACAGCCTCCAGGAGCTAGAAAAGGCAAGGAAACGCGATTCCCCTCTAGCGCCTCCAAAACCTTTGTTGGAGCTTCATGGAGCCCACTGCAGATTTCCGACCTCCGGAATTGTAAGATAATAAATGTGTCTTGTTCTAATACACTTAGTTTGTGGTGATCTGTTACAGCAGTAATAGGAAACTATGACATGTTCTCAGTGTGAAACCGGGGCAACATCAATTTGAAGACAGGAAAACCAAGAAATCCCCAAAGATTAAAACACCAGTGGAGGGGCTGCCTGGGTAGTATTTAGGTACCGCCTATCTGCTGCACATGCCACCCACCACCCCAAGTGTTCTCCGCAGGCAGGAGGACTAAGTGCACACCCTTTACTATACCCACCAGGATGATGGAACCCAGAAAAATGCACTCTGTCGTTCTGCCCGTGGTGTTGGGCCCTTTGTCGGATCCCTACTGTCATTTCTTAGGTCCTAGGAAACTGAGACAAGGGTGTATGTTCGGGTGGGGGTGAGAATCGAAGGGGCTTGGAAACGTTTTTTGTTTTGTTTATTTTCCTTTTTAACAGCAAGCACCATGATCTGCTAGAGACAGAGATAAAGAAATACACACATTCTTGGCTTGTGGCTTTGATTCTTCCATTGGCACCTCTGAAAACCAACCCAAGTATATCAAACTATCCAGGTGGACAGTGCTTAAGAGGGAGATTGCTGTGTAAGTCCTTCTTGAAAACTCAGTCTAGGAGCTGCCCCATTGTTTCGTATAGCTAAGCAAGGAGGAAGCCAAAGCCTAACAGAGAGAGCAAAGACCCCTCGAAGACACAGAGCCGATCAGTGAAGTTGTCTCTGAGGACCCGCATGGCATTTAACTGCTTTGCCCAGATTGCTGGCCAATCTCTAAGATTCTAGATTTTCCACTAGACTCAGCTGCTTCTCCTCGGTATTTCTATCAGCTAGAGTTGCATTACCTGATCTTGGTCCCTCCTTTTTTCTTTGTTTTCAATTTATGGAGCAACATAGTATAAAGTCATTAAGAGCTTAGACTGGAGCCAAACTGCCTGACTTCAGATCCTGACTCTTATCTAACCCCTCAGGCAAATCACCTCACTTCTCTGTGCCTGTTCCCATCTGTGAAATGGGGATATTAGGAGTACCTACGTCACAGGATTATACATTACTTATAAAGTAATGTATAAGGATTATGAGGATTATGTATGACTTACAAAGCACTTAGAAAAATGTCTAGCACATGTTTGCTAAATATAATAAAAACTGTGATTTCAGCATGTGCAAACGGAATAGTCCCAAGAACTGGAATGGGAATACAGATCAAAGATTGAACTCCATAAACTATAAACCCCCCCCCCAATCCTGAGTTTTATGCCCCTTTGAGGATAATCAGTACTTCCTGCGATTCATTCCTATACAGTTCCGGTTCCCACATCTGGAAACTTGCTTCTNCCCCTCAGGCAAATCACCTCACTTCTCTGTGCCTGTTCCCATCTGTGAAATGGGGATATTAGGAGTACCTACGTCACAGGATTATACATTACTTACAAAGTAATGTATAAGGATTAGGAAGATTATGTATTACTTACAAAGCACTTAGAAAAATGTCTAGCACATGTTTGCTAAATATAATAAAAACTGTGATTTCAGCATGTGAAAACGGAATAGTCCCAAGAACTGGAATGGGAATACAGATCAAAGATTGAACTCCATGAACTATAAAACCCCCTCCAATCCTGAGTTTTATGCCCCTTTGAGGATAATCAGTACTTCCTGCGATTCATTCCTATACAGTTCCGGTTCCCACATCTGGAAACTTGCTTCTACATAACAACAGCCAAATCCAAGAAGTTAAGATAAAATGTTTGTTATTTGTACTGCAAGTGTTAATTAGGAATTCTTTAATGAAACTACTACCTTTTGTTGGATACAGGTTAGGGAAATGGTGGGTACAAATAGCTAAGAAACAGTATTAATCAACGTAAAAATAAGGCATTGTTTGAAAGTCAAAAATGATCTTTAAACTCTCTGACAAATGAGGTATCAGGAACCCTGGTGTCAAGTTTGAGCCCCTCTTCTAACTAGCTGTGAAACTTTTAAAATCCCTTTATCTCTCTGCCTGCTTCTCATCTGTCAAATAAGTGCAGCAGGTTTCTTTACACATTGAATTAAAATCAAAGTGAAACAAAAACACTTCAACTGCAGCCACAATGAGCTGGAGTTGATTAAATATAAAGTTTATGTCTTAGAGAACAGAACTAGAAATGGATTACTTTGTTAGAATAAAAACATTTAAACGTAATTTGGACACCTTCACTCCAGGATGGCGTTAGGAAGACAGCCTAGACACCTCAGAGCCTAGTTCTCGGATTGGCTCACACCGCTAGGAGCTTTATACCCAACAGCAACAGTAACGCTGAATGAACGGCCACGCCAGAGTATGCAGCAGGCGTGAATGGGTATGCAGGCCCTGGGAACTGAACACTGTCCAATAATTTTGATGAATTTTTAGATTAAATATCTGATATCGTGCATCAGCTGTGAATGTTAGCTTTACTTTCATCTTTATAAGTAAAGGATTTAAGGAACTTGTCAAAAAAAATTACCTGGCGTGTTTTGCGTGCTTGAGAGACTTCTAAAACATAAGGCACAGCGCCACCTAGTGGATAGGACAAATGTCTGCACTGTGGGGCAGGGTGGTGTCCTAATTGAACTTTTGTTAGGATACAATTTTAAAAGGCTAAGAAATATAGCCTGTGTTCTTATATAGAAACCTTGACTGACTTTCCCTCTCCACCTTCTTAAACAGTGGGGATCACCACAGTCTCTTTGCCACAGGATTCCTCTGGGTTAGGAAACAGTATAGCACAGCCTGCTCTAAGGCCATTGATCGAAGAATGATGAATGGGACACTAAGATAATTTCTGTTTCTCTTTAAGCACAACCTCCAGGAAAGCCATGTGCACAAGGGGTGCCATATCAGACACTGGTTATAGGGGTGCCCCATGTAGAACTCCCAGTGAAATTCATTCTGTGGCCTCTCAGCCTTCTACTTCTCCCAACACTGTGAGGTTTTAGGGGTGGTTGGATATGACTGCTTTGAGTATGAAGGTAGAAAGTAATCTAGCATTCATTTCACCACAGCTGGTAGTTACGGACAGAGTCTACAGAAGGCAGGCTGAGCTAAAAAAAATACTTGGTTCCAAGTATGATTTGTGCCCTTAACACACAAGCCTGTCATTTACATATGTGAAAACAACAACAAAAATTGGACAGCAGTAGCGTTTGGGAAGGAATTTAGTTTCCAACCATAACACAGTTTTCTCCATGTCAGCAGTAACCCAAAACTTCAATTAGCCGCTACCCATTGATCTAATAGTTGGACACCTTTGTTGGGGAATAAAAAAGATGGACTCATAGTCAGGAACCTACAAGGGTTTTCCCAGGTTTGCTTTTTCAGCAAGTCTCTCAGGAGAAGTTGACGAGGGGCAGCCTGTGCGTGGTTAGGAGTCCATGCTGCTCTGGGCTGGCTAAACATCTCCGCACAGACTCGCTGGAATCGGGGGGCTTCAGTGTTGGTGTCCAGGGAGGAATAACAGCATCGCTCTCCTGCTTGGCCCACTTCCTCCAACACTTCTGCATGCTCCTTTTTCCCTCCAGTTGCCTGATGGGGGGCGGGCACATGTGTCTTCTTTCTTTTCTTACCTAAGGACTCTAAGCCAGATTGAGAAACTATTTTCTTTGAAGCTTTCTGGGACAAAGCCTTATCTGTAAAGTTTTTCCAAAGTGAATAAGAGAGAGTTCGAGGGTAGGGATAATTGCGCCTGGCCCTCAACAGCACATGACTCCCCAAAGTCATCAGTCTCCATTTTTAGTGTAGAGCTTAACCCCTGCGGGGGTGGCAGGGACTGGGTACCTTTGCTACCATGACAACAGAATCCAGGAGAGAAAGCTGAGAAGTGGCCCTAACTTCCTCACACTCACAATCAAAATTCCACAAAGCTCAGTGTGGTTTCTTTTCAGTCCAAGACAGGTATAAAGTTATATCTAACCCTGGGAATATACATTCCTCGCCAGCTTTGGAGAAAGGGCTACAAAGACGAAATGGATAACAATAACCCCAAATGGATTCTTATGGTAGTTAAGAGGCCACCAAATTCTGGGAGAAACAGAATCCGGAGATACATAGCAGCAAGACAAACAATCAACACTTCCATACCCTTCCTCTAATCCCTAAGTCAATTTGAAATACAGAAATAGATTCAGAAAACTCTGGCTAAGAGTTCGAAGTGAGAGCCAGTCCTCTGGTTGGCATGTATCGCTTTATTAGGGCAGATTGCAGTGACACCGCTGCCCGTAGTGACTTCTGTGGCATGGTATGCACAGAGTGGACAGTAACCAGCACCTCAGTAAGTCTTCCAAATCATCACATTAAAATAACC